TCAACCCTTAAAAGTTCCTGGCTCTTTCCGGTAGTGACTAGGGGCTGAAAGCCCATGGCCCCTGAGAGATGATGCAAATCCAAACTATAGGCAGGAGCAAAGAGAAGAAGAGGACAAGGTGAGGGAGGGGGATGCGAAGTATAACTAAAAATTAAAAATACAGCCAGGCAGTGGTGACACATGCTTTTAATACCAGCACTGGAGAGGAGAAGACTAGGAGTGGAAGGTTCAAGGCCAGCATTAGATTCATAGGAGACCCTGCTTCAAATAAACAAAGGGACAAAGACTAGAGGAAACAAGGAGGCAAGGGGTGGATGTTGCCATTCAGACACTGGTAACAGAAACAGAAGAAGGGAGAACAGACTGTAAAAGAGCCAGGCAGCAGTGGTGTACACCTTTAATACCAGTGCTCGGGAGCCACAGGCAGGAGGATATCTGGGTTCAAGGCCAACCTGATCTACAGAGTGAGTTACAGGACAGCCAAGTGTTGAGGCTACAAACAGGTTTTTGTTTTAATCCCAGTTTTGGGATGTGGGACTGATTCAGATGGTCCACAGCAGCAAACTATTTGCCTCATGGGGGCTCTGAGAGGAGCTCTTTGCCAGCTGCGGAGTGTTTAAATCTGAGGGCTCTGGAGAGAGAATAAATGCCACAGTTCAGAGAGTGTGGGGGAGCTCCAAGAAAGAACAAGGCTGCTGCTGCTTCCCCTCTGCAGTTCCTGATGCTGTTGATGCAGTGAGACAAGAAGTTGGAGATCTCCTGAAACAAGGATTGGAGTGGCTCCAACGAACCTGATGAGGACTCTAACCAGCAGGAAGCAACTAAGAAAGAGAATTGTACCCCCTCTCCCACTAACCTTTTCTCTCTCCTACCTGATGTTGGGATGTTGGAAGGGGTTGTGGTAGGGTAGGGAGAAAGAGAAATAAAAACAAACAAACAAACAAACAAAAAAACAAAAGAGTTTTAAAAAGTATGCCAACAGCCAGGGATACACAGAGAAACTGTCTCAAAAAAACCAATAATAATAATAGTATTAATAATAATAATAAATATTGTAGATGCTTTGTGAGCCACATGCTGATGAAGGAGGAAGAAGCTAAAACTCAGAGCACAGTGCTTGAGAAACAAGTTCAGGATTGAGGAGTCCGGAAGAGATGGGCTCAAGGGAAAAGGCCAGGAGATAAAGGAGTTGGGGAGTAAAGATCCTAAGGACAGGATTCCTGAGAACGGAGGAGCAGTGGTCTGGGTCTGGCAGCGCTTCAAAGAAGGCAGAAGTGTCTTCCCTCTGCATCTCTCCAACCCTAAGCCGCTCTCTTGACCTGGTACCTCTCAAACTCCTCATACCACTGCTCAGAGTCATCAAAGCCTCAGAGGAAAGGCAGTACTGGGTGTGGGGGAGGGGTGAGGGGGGGAGAAGAGTGTTTATTTAAAACAGAACATCTTCTCAGAGACTGGCCAGAGTGAGGAGGCCAACATTAGAGAACAATAAGAAAAACTGTTCCCCGGAACATCTGTTCTACCTAACTGGGGTGGAGGAAGCCTTACTTCAAGCCTTGGATCCCAGGCCCAATTCCAGTCCTCATATGAGAGAGTCACAAACATAAAATGTTCCTTGAGCACCTTTACATGTATCTGTAAAAATGGGGAAGAAGAATGTATATTCTTGGAGCCTCTTCCCAGGAAACAATGCTCGTGGCTCTTAATACAGTTTAAATGCCGTTCAGGGCCATATGGGTTTGACATATTGCATTCGCTCTCTTCAGGCTCAGTTAAGGCATAATCCCGTTTTATGGCTTTGATGCCTTAGGGAGAAATTTTATAACCATATATCCATGGGGGAAAGCTGATGGAAGACAAACTATCTACCAGGATAGGTTTTCTCCAGGCTGGAGCTTTTTGTCAATTAGATCTATAAAGTTCATGTCTCACATTGATGACTATATTATAAAGTAGGAGGAACCTGAAAGTGGATCCCACTTGTGAGAAAAAGTCTTTACACAAAAAACGTATTCCTCAGGCACCATGGCTTTCACTCAGCCATACGTGTAATTTAGAACAAGAAATACATGCAGACACAGGAAAGATAGTCACAGTGAAACCTTATCATTAATTTCAATTACCAGCATTTACTTGGGCTACAATCACTGCTCCTCTCGTCCTTGTTACAAAGATTTATAGCAGAAATGGTATCACCAGAGCCATGCTTACCGCTCTGATTCGTTAGATGACATCACTCTATTTTGTGTTATTCTTGATTATATATAGGTGTGTATGTGTGTCTGCGTGTGGGTACGTACATGCGAGTGAAGATGTCCCAGAAGCCTCTGATCTGGCGGGTCTGGTGTTACATGTTATCCTGAGCCGCCTGATGTGGGTGCTGGGAACCAAACTTGGGTCCTGCTCTTAATTGCTGAGGCGTCTTTCCAGGCCCCTACTACATTCATTTTACGAAATTAAGCGCTCTTTTAAACCTAATTTCTCACTGTATATTTTCATATTCACTGTCTTTCCAGGGTGATTGTTTTACTTCCTGGATACCTAACAGACAGTCTTTCACTAATTTACACTGGCCCTGGTGGTTAGCCAGACTAGTTCATTAAGTTCACTTAATTAGGCAAATGTGCTAGCGGGGGTGGGGGGTGGGGGGTGGGGGGGGGGGGGGGATCCTAGCCAGTTGGGGAAGTAGACTTCTGAAAGGGAATGAGTCCTGGTAAACAACCAGCAAATTGCATTCTCTTTTCAGAGAAGAGGTGGGGACAGATGGCCAGGGTGGGAAAGATAGAGAAATCGGTAGTCTTTTCCCTCTTCCTGCTCTGATTGATAATCACAGCAAAGCACGGGATCGCAGTAGAAGGCACTGGAGCAAACTCTGTGACTGTGGTCTTCCTCCAGCGTACTTCTAGAACATCTTGTGGTTCTCAACCTTCCCGGTACAGCTTCTCCTGTTGTGGCGACCCCCACTGTAAAACTGTCTTTGTTACTTAATGTTGCCGCTGTTATATGAATCCTAACCTAAACATCTGTGTTTTCTTCTTAGGTGACCCCTGTGAAAAGATCACCCCGGGGTTCGAGACCCACAGATTGAGAACCACTGTGCTGGTGGAAGGCTAAGTCTCACCAGCATGCCAGTTTTCCGAGAATCAAAAAAGTAGCCTTTTTATTATAATGGTGAGCTACAGGGTCCATCCTTAAGGGTCTCAGTTTGTACATATGTAATGGTGGTTGTAAAATAAGGCCAGGGCCTTGGCTGGAAGTCTGGAAGTATGTCTTATACAGGTGAATCAGCCAGCGAGCACAGGCAGGGACCGTGGACTTGAAAGGACTTCAGTGATTCCTGATCTAGCCCTCTGACCTCGACGGCGGAGAAACCAGAAGCTTACGAGGACTCACTCAGCATCTCCTAGGTAGCGGCCCGCTTGGCACTAGAAGCCACATTCCCTGATCCTCAGTCCCTTTTCTTGACTGTGCTGACCAGCTCTTTCAGGTGATAGTAGGTTTTTAAGTTTCTATGGTTCTGAGCATTGAACCCAGGGTCTCAGGCAAAGGATCTAAGGCTCCCGACCCCAGAATGATTAATCCTGAAGTTAAACATTTGACAGTATTTTTTCTTAGGTAGACTTTAGCTAGTAATAGATTATGCCAGCAATGTCCTACGTCACAAAATGAATGATAATTCAGAGGACCAAAGTGTTTCTTGGCGCATCTAGTCTTCTTTTTTGGATCAGCACCGAGTAACATTTCTCCTTTCATATCATTTAACATGCATGGAGTTCAATTATTAGTTTTTTTTAACCCAAGTCCCTTACTGGCCAGGCTGCGAGTGTTTTAGCAACAGAAACCATGCCTTTATTCCTTGAGTGCCTGGCTTAATAATTATTGAATGAATACATGAAATCTGGAAACTGGAAGAAACTGTGTTGTCCCTGAGGGTCTGGGACAGGTACAAGCAGATACTAAGATCAGTGGGCAAAGGCCATGGTTAGCTTTCCTGTCTGGTGAATAATAAAATAGACTCGCTGTGGTCGACGAGGAATCATAATGGCGGACAGATCGGCTTCAGGACAAGCACTCAGCTTGTCCTCACAGCCCTCTCCTCTCACCTACTGCCCTCGCCAACTTTTACTACAGATGGTACAGGCCTATAGTCCCAGCGACTGGGGAAGCTGAGGCAGGAGGGTTGCGTGACCCGAGAAACTGGAGGCCAGCTGGGGTAAAAGAGTGTATGGCATTTCAGAAAACAAAGCAAACAAAACCCAGATCGGACGATTTGACCGGCACTCAAGTATTTAGGCGACCAGACCCAGATCCCGGACTTTCAACCCGATGGCTATGATGCAATAAAGCAAGAACAGACGGGGAAGTAAGGCCACTCCCTCCCCTTTCTGACCTCTACCATAACCTGCATTTTAAATTTTAAATACAAAAACCGATAGTCCTACAGCAATTTCCCCATTGACACCTACATTTTAACCAGACGGACGGTCCTAGGTTTTCCAGGACCAACCAAATCTTAACTCTTATCTTTATGGTTTTCAGACAGGGCCTTGGGTAGCCCAGGCTAGCCTTGACTAATTAACTGAAAATGACCTTGTACCCCAGATACTCCCTTCTCTACCTCCTCAGAAAGCCACCATACCTGTCTCCTGGTTTTTGTTTGTTTGTCACCTACAACATTTGTTTTTAAGTTTTATTAGAGAAATGAGGACAACTGAACCCGGCCATCTCCGCCGTTCAGGCGGGCGGCTGCGGTCTCCAGTTCCATTCGAACCTGCGCCAGGAAACAGCAGGGCACAGTTGGGGTGGGGGTGAGGGACACCCGGAGCCTGACCGTCCTTGTGTTGAGTTTTTCACCTCCCTGCTTGAAGAGCAGAACCTCCCTCTTCGCCAGCAGGAATTATCTGTCTGTCTGGGCGCCCTCTGTTTAAACTCCAGTCCCGGCACCTCATACATCACGCGTCAGGATGAGTCACTAGCAGCTCTGTCTCGGTGGCCCAACAGGGCTGCGTCGCCACCGGGGCTGTCCTCTTCAGCGCCAGCTGCAGGCTGCCGGGCGCTTAGTAGGTGCTCAGGGTGCTTAGAAACGAGGCTCCCCAGTCCTCTCCCAAGCATCCCAGTCCCGGTGCGAGGCATCTTGGGGGTCCGACGTGACCCTGCCTGCCCCCTCCCGCTCCGCTGGACCTGACTCCTGGCCAGGGCTCTCCGCAAGCCTCGAGGTGCCCCGGACCCTGGACCCCACCCAGCTCCCCGGCTCCCAAACGCTGCCCGGAGCTACCGGGCGTGGGGGGTGGGGGGGACTGGAAAAACACTGGCAGGCCGCCCCACCCCCACCCCCCAGCGGGCCGGGCGGCTGCGGCTCTGCGGCTGGGGCCTGCTGCCTGGGCGGCGCTGGCCCCGGGGCGGG